CTACTACTACTACTACTACTTTTTTATTATTATTGTTACTCTTACTAGCTTAATGTTCACCCACATCAGACATGTATTGTGATTGTTTGTGTTGAGGGTAGGCAGGTTTGGGTTCAACGCTTGATCCGCTTTTCGTCGGCAGTTGTCTTCGGTGACTTCTTGCTCGTCCACCGCACTCCTATCGCAAGACCAGAAAACACCCGAAGGCCTTCGACCGTAAGTCCCTCCGCCCTAAGCCTAAAACCCCACCCTGTACCAAAACCCCTAAAGTCCCGGAACCCTAACCCCTAAAGTCCCTGAATCCTAAACCCCTAAAGTCCCTGAGCCCTAAACCCCTAAGCCGTGTCTGTTGGTATTTTGAAAATCCACCGACATGGGAGAATCGGAGGAGAGGGTTCCACATTGCAAGGTTTAGGCCTTCGTGATCTTTTGAGTACAGGCGCTTCGGCTTAGATTACCTTATCGTATTAGGAGTCGGAAGAGTTCAAGCCTACAGGGTCCTATGTACCTATATGATAGAACGTAGGGGTTCTATACTAGGAATTACTATTCGAATTAGGGAAGTACCCCCAACAAAAGTACATAGGACCAATTGGGAAACACCTCATCGCGGTTTGCAGGTTTCTGCGCGTGCGCCGATGCTTCTCAAGGAAACCAAACGCGGAAGGGGCCTACTTATTAATCGGGATCTCAGTCAGAAGTAAGGGTCCTAGGCCTAGCTCGGTCAGAACTGTCTCCTGCACTCTGGACAGAACAAGTTCATCGTTACTTGGCTGTAGATTGGTAGATGATGGCTCGGTCCATTCCACGCGCAGAATGGAGTAAGAGGAGATACAAGCATCAAAACCGGAAAATTAAGGAGCTACATAGAATCCTCTGCCTAGTAGCGGCGTAGGTGACCTTCAACATCCTTTAAGCTTTCTGGGGTACTACAGTCATATAATCTCCAGGGGAGTCTAATTCAAGATGGCGCGTCCCTTGCAGACTACCGCCGTTGTCTTTGACTCCATGGGGCTGCGTAACGGGAAGCCAAGGGCCAGGTTTGACCTCACCCCAATCGGCATCCCGGATTCGAGAAACGGCGCCTTCTGTGGCTTAAGACTGGGCATGCATCCTCGGTCGAAGGAAGCGAAACGATATTCCAAGATCTTCGAATCAGCGGAAAACTTCGTGTGGTATGCCGTGCGAGATCAGCAGGTGACGGATCATTTCGGAAGTCCCTGTAGTGAGTGCAAATGTTTGATGGTCGTGGTGGCCGGGAATGACTGGTCAGATTTTCATCGTGGCAGCATCACTGCCCATTCCATCTCGCGGGATACAGCTTCACGGATGCGCGAGAATCTCTTGCGTTGGAAACAGTACTCCTCAACCATAGAGGAGTGTGTCTTCGTGATGCTCAACATTGACATGTTGACCGCAACTTATGACAATGCACAGGCGACGAACGCAAGCAAAAATGCCTATTCGATTGTCGATGCGAATACTGAGATGATCCGAGAGGTCTTCGCGAACGAGCCTAGCATATTCTTTTTGGAAGATAAGCTCACAGAGTTTGAGGAAAAAGACATATCCGATGACAGATTTCATCTGGGTAACGGTTGCGGACCGCTATTGTGCAGAAAACTTGTGGAGTGGTACGAGACGAGCAGACAATCGTGGAACCCGGCGACGGGAATCTATGATAAGAGTTTGCCAGTTTCGGCTGCATCTACTACCGGAGCCGTCGACGAGCTGCCTCAAGCCTTGTCGCGCGTTGACGCGCCTAGTGAAGCCGAGCCTACGCCGGGGACATCGAATAGTTAGATCAGTTGGTCCTTTTCCTCGGGTGGGCGTCCTGCTGTGAGGAGACAAAGAGATAGCCCACAACCATAACGATGGTGGATCCGAGTATAAAAAGCAACTACCGGCGATGAGGATGCAAAAAGGACCAGGTAGGTGCGTCGATTGGCGTCCGCTCTTCCATGTCATCTCGCTGTCAATGTCAAGTTATATGCTTCGATCTATCGGATTCAAGTACACCGCTGATTTCTCATGGAAGTCCGGCTAGCTTAGATCCTGTTTGCTGCTATGCAGCGCCTTTTCGAGGGCCTCCTAACCGACTGAGGGTTCAGGGTTCACGTAGCCTATGTCTGCAGCTATGGGGCTACGCTGTTAGACACAACAGAGCTTGCGGTCGATTTCAAGTCTCCAGACCATGGCACACGAGAGAAGGAAGGGGCTTGAGGCTCCCTGTATGTATATATATATATATAGATATATTTTTATTTATTTGTTTATTTTTTATGTATATATGTATACATGCATGTACATGTATACAAATATTATATATATATATATGTACATATCGATGTATACGTCCTTTATACTTAGGCTTCAAACGCGGATGCCATATCGAATTCAGGAAGATGAAGGCCTGTAGACTATATGGGTAGTTGTCAAAATTATGGTCCCTTTGGGGGTACCCTAAATAATAGGTGCCGCATTATAACAAGGACCCAAAAAGGGACCATAATTTTGACAACCACCCATGTAGGCACATAGAGCCTCAGGTTTCATCATGACTTAGCGACCACCTGGAACAGAAAACACAGAACCAAAGCAACAGAGCACGGTTTAGGGTTTATAAGGTTTATAGGGTTTTTGGGGTTTATAGGGTTTAGGGTGCGCACGCAAGCTGTTCACAAGCTCATGCAACCGGAATCTTAAAGCCTGAACAGGTCCAATCTGAAGATCCCTAAACCCTAAACCCTAAACCCTGAACCCTGAACATACCCTAAACCCTAAACCCTAAACCCTGAACCCTGAACATACCCTAAACCCTAAACCCTAAACCCTAAATGAACCCTGAACATGTGAACCCTTGAGCCTCCTAGACTACCCCTCAACCCAGCGAAACCCGAAGCATTAAACACCAAGCCCAGGCGCTAAAGCCCTTAACCCCAAGGCGTAAAGCCCTAAACCTCAAGCCCTAATAAACCCCAAACAATAAACCCTAAACCCTAAAGCCCACAAATCGAGAAGTGTATCAAAACCCTAGAAACCAAACCCTAAACCCCACCCTAAACCCTGAACCCTAAACCCTAAAAGCCTAAAGCCCCAAACCCTGTCTATCAAAACCCTAGTACCCCCCAACGTTTCATCCCTAAACCCTAAACCCTAAACCCTAAACCCTAAGGTCAAAGATCTGGCGTCCGAGATCACGCTGGCGAACCTTCGGCCCTTCGGGCTCGTGTTGTTGCTTATAAGGCTTCTATATTAGGGTTTAGGGTTTAGGGTCTAGGGTTTAGGGTTTAGGGTTATAGGGTTTATAGTTTATGGTTATAGGGTGTTAGGTTGAGGGTTGAATGATAGGGTTTAGGGGTTAGGGTTAAGCCGAGATAGGGTTTAGGGTTAAGGCTTTAGCGGTTAGCGCTGAGGGGTTTAGGGTGTACATGGGTTAGGGGTTCAGGGATTTGGGGGTTTAGGGCTTTAGTGGGGTTTAGGTTTTGGTGTTCAGGGCTTATACCCTATAAGCCTATAAACCCTAAACACTGCTCAAAAACCAAGGTTTATAGTGTGGGCGCTGGCTTTCTCAGGCTTGGGAGGTTGACTCGGGGATTTCGGCGATGCCTGGCAGAGAAACGCAGGGGCATCCAATCCTAACCCAAAGGGTCCAATGTACTTATATAGTAGATATGCAGGGTTCCTGTATTAGGAATAGTTATTATGATTTGGAAAAGTATCCCCTACAACAGTCCCTAGGACCCTTTGGGTAATTTCCCCCCAACTCGACCCTCACGGACCAGGATTGCAAGGCATATCAAGAGCCACAGCAGGGCGAGGCCCAAGTCGGTTACCGGATAGTGGATCGGTATATGATGGTTCTACAAGGACAGTAAACCCTAAGCCCTAAACCTACCACAGAAGCAGCTGGGCTTGAAGGGAGTTTAGGACTAAGGGATACTAAGCCCCAACCTCTTGACTGCCTGCTAGTCATGTGCTTGCATGTACAGCAACACGCTATAAACGGTCTAGGGTTTAGGGCTTATAGGGTTTATAGGGTTTAGGGTGTAGGGGTTTAGGGGCTTCTAGGGTTTAGGGTCCTAACCCAAGTGCCCCGTGCCGACAGTCGGAATGTGGAGCATGAGAAATGTCTTGGTCGAACCAACAGCCTGGATTCCGAGACCGTACGTGGAGCATGAATTCAGCTTTGCGTGTTGATTCTAGGGTTTAGGGGTTTAGGGTTTAGGGGTTTAGGATTTAGGGTTTATTCGGGTTAGGAGTTCAGTAGCCAGCAGCTTGCTTAATGAGTCAGGAGTATGAAAACTGTGGGAACTGCTCCCCCACGAGCTCACTCATTATACCATCCATGATGGCCCTTAGCAACCAACTTAACAATTCGTCCGAACTTATTTACCTGCATGCACAGGGAGGCGCCACCAGCGCATCCGAATCGCAGGCACCTTCGTGCCAGGGGTGGGATGGACAGCAATCGCGGACTGTAGCCTGCGATCGCTATTTGCGGCTACATCTGTTTCTCGTTCATGTTCTGTTATTCTGATTGGTTTTGTATGTATGTAGTATTAGCGTCTCTCACCCGTTTCGTCTGTGAAGGGTAAGATTTATCCCGGTATCCCATCTTGAGGTTCAGAGCACTTCTTTCGGAAGCTTGTGTAAGAGTACCCAGTCCCGTAAAGCCCACCAACCATATCGTGCAGCCGATTTGCGTGTCTACGTGGGTTTAGGCATCGATCGTCCGCACCCTCAAACCCCAAAGCTGGAAGCTCAGTTGAAGCACACAAAGCCCCAAAACCTGCAGACGGAACCGTAAACCCAGCTCTATACTTCAGCTTAAAGAGCAACCTTGGCAAGGAGGAGCAAGCCCCAGAGTGGGCCAATGCTGATGAGGCCTCGCGAGGGGGTGGTGGAGTTTTGCTCGAATGTACGGGTAGCGGAGATGATGACCGCAAGCGATGATTAGTCCTTCCGACTTGTTGCCATGTTGATCATCAGCTGGGATGTTGATGATGCTCTTACTGCCAGTTTGCCACATCGGTTTCCGCAACACTCGACGCCGCATTTTTCATGGTTGAGGATCGGCTTCGTTACTGGGGTTGGTTTGATGCAGGTCTGCATGACTCATGCCCAAGGGTTAGTTAGTTAGTTCGTTCGTGAGTTTCTTTTGCATGTAAGAGAACAGGAGCTGTAAAACGAGGACATTGTGGCTTTCTGATGCATGTCTGGTTGATGAGCTCTTGCGTGGCATGGTGGACCTCCTGCTATTAGATGCATGATTCCCTGTACCACAAGGCTTACACATCTATGAGGTTCTCATGATTCTCTTTAGGCTTCTGCAGGCTTCCTTTTTCAAAAGTCTACGAGTACCGTACTGTTCCCAAAGGCTCCATGTACCTTTATAGTAGATACTTAGGCCTTAAAGGGGTCCCTATACAGGTACTTTAAGGCCTAAGTATCTACTATATGGGTACATGGAGCCTTAGGGTTTGCAGAGGTTGGGGTCCTGGGGAAGCAGGTCTCGGATGCTCCAGGAGGTCTCTTTGAACAAAAGCTTTGGTTTAAGTTTTCCTAACCCCCCAGGTACCTACTAAATGGGGCCCTTGGGGCTCTAGTACCCTATATAGTAGGTACCTGGGGGGTTTGGGTTTGTAGGTGTCTTCCACTGTTAGTGCCAAGCGTTCACAGTGTCCCTAAACCCTAAACCCTAAACCCTAAACCGTGGTCACAACCCAAAGTCCCTAAACCGTGAAGTTCTAACCTTCGTAGGCGCTTCGCTCCTCCGGTCAAGCCGGGCGCAGCGAGGCAATTGCTGTCCGTTTAGGGTTTAGGGTTTAGGGTTTAGGGTTTAGGGTTTAGGGGGAGCCTTTGCGGCCGAGGGTATCGAACCTGACATCCATTTACTTCGCTGATGTTATTGTAGAGAGGCTTGAAAACGTACAAATGCTTTCTTTCATCGCCCCTAATCGCCCTAGGCCCTATGCAAGAGTATTCGCCCCAACCCCTATTTTGTTTCGTTGCTTGTCGCACATGATGGTGAGGCTTCGGCTGTAGACTCCGGTTTGGGCGGTGGAGGTCATGGTCATCGTTTCTTAAACCCGAGAACCCTACAAGTTACTTTTCCCTCATTATGACTTGATGCTGTGCTCCCTTCTGGTGTTTGGTTTTTGGTATTCACGTAAACTGGTTGAGGATTGCCCTAAGCCGCAAATCCTACCAGTAGCTACGGTGACCCTACACCTTGAAAAGAGAGAGCGGGGAGTTTCGCGTATCCTCAAAACTCGGACTTCTGAGACCCGACTCCTCTGACTCAGAGAGATCAGGACCTCCTAGTTGAATTACTAGGATCTTGCGGGCATTAGGATTTGGGGTTCAGGGTTTAGTGTCTGATTTGGGGTGTTTGCGGAACATTGGGGTTATCGTTTTGGCATTTCGTGCTTACAAAATGTGTGGTGTGTTGGGTTCACGGTTGTAGTTTTTCCAGGGGTGGGATTTGAATAGTCATCCTGCATCAGAGAGATGACATGCCGAGATTTCTCAGGTCGCCGTAGTGTGTGGGAGCGGGAAACTACTACCACAAACTCAAAGACTCAAAGCAATTTAACTAATATCAGTCCGGCGCTCCATCATAAACCTAAATCGCTAACCTAAGCCCTAAGCAGAGCTAGCTTCAACACTAAACTCGCTGAGCGCAAAACCCTGAGCCTGCACCTTTGCCTAAATTGGGGTTTGGGGGTGTAGGGATTAGGGGTTTAGGGTCTAGGATTACTGTCTCTTCCATGCCCCAAGAGCATGGAATGGCCCTTCGTGTTCTGGTTAGTCATTGCACGGGACCATTTATTTTTCGGGGTTGCATGCTAGCTGAAGGCCTTTGCCCTTTGGGTCATCAAGACCATGTGGGTTCTGAACTGGAGCTCAGGGGGCGTCCGGAGTTTAGGATCAGTGACCGAGCCGGGTGTAGAGTTCTAGCCAGGGTGAGGGTTTTGGGCGTAGGGCTTGGCATTATGTATGTATGTATGTATGTATGTATGTATGTATGTATGTACGTATTATGCATTATACAATTATGCATACATGTACATATACATATGTATTATATATATATATATATACATATGTATGGGGTGCCCGCATTTTTCCAGGGACCCCGCCCCACCTCCGCTCCTCTCCCAATCCGTCCGCATGCTAGGCTTGAGGTTTTGTGGTTTCTGGGAGTGTGCTTCAGGGCGTAGCGATAATAACTCAAGACCTCTCGAGTTTCAGCTGAAGGCTTTGGGGCTTATGGACGTTCAGCTCATAGGGTTCAGGGCTCACGGGGTTGATTGTACTTCAGTCCGGATTCGTTCTTGCATCCGCCGTGCTGGCTCCAGAGAGTAAGAGACTTGCAAAACCGGGCCGCACTTGAAGCTCTTGGCAAGTCGGGAGGCAGGAGCGGGTGAAGACCGATCTTTAAGACTGACTAGCTGTTTGCAAACTCAGTATTTTATCGGGATGTGCTTGCGTCTGACTGTTCGTGGCTATCGCATGTAATTACATGTGTGTATGGTGATATGCACGTGGGTTTGCAAACACCATGCAATAATCATGTCGGGTGCTTATGCCTAGCTATGCAAAAGGAGCAGACCCCGAGGGACTTAGATACATGTGCGCGCGTGCACGCAAGCACATGCAACTTCAAGCGCTTGTATTTTCAAGGTTGTTACCCAGGCTCCCTCGTGAGGCTTGAAGATAATATAGAAGCCCAAAGAATTGCCAATATCCTTCCTTAGGGCTCCTCTTTATATTTATGCGATAAAGGAGCCCAGAACCTTGTTCTAGCTATTCAGGCCCCCACATTACCTGCGCCTGAGTGACTTACTCAAGAAATTCGGGCCGAAGTCCCAGACTCCAATCCCGACATTCTAAGTCAGAACCCCAGAGACCCTTCTACCCTAAAATGCCAAGAGAAGCGCTTGAGCTTAGAACGAGTTGGAAGCAGTCGTCGGAGGTTTTGGGTTTCCGGTTGCATTCAGACTGCAGGGTTTAGCGGATAGGACTTTAAGATTTGTCGGATTTATAAGGGCTTTCGACCTCGGGGCCGAAGACGTCCATCCGACGCAGTCACCGAGAAGCTTGTAGTGGTTTTAATAGTAGGTTCAAGGTTCAGGCTGTCGAGTTTAGGGTTTAGGGATGTTTATGGTGTAGGGTTTACAAGGTGTTTATGCTTAGGGTTACTTTTTTTTGGGGGGGGCGGGGGGGATTTGCATTGTGTTTAAAGTGTAAGCTGAAAGGCCCGAGAGGAAACATGGGTACGGAAACTTCGGGTTTTGAAGGTTTCCAATCCTCAGTCGGGCATGCTTGTCCCGGCCAACTCCGCCAAGGGCTACAGCATTGCACCATGCATACTCAGCCCTTAGATATGCGACGCTAGTACAAAGCTTGTGAGCCGACGGACGAGCAACAACTGTCCACCAACAACAGCACGAATCGATACCACTAGCATCAAGAGCACACTAATGTAGCGGGAACAGCCGCGATAACCGGACATCATTTATGCCTGGGGGCATGAACTAAGGTTTCCATAGGCTTACAGACACGGATGCAGGTTTAGGGTTTAGGGTTTAGGGATTGGATTCAATTGGTTAGGGCTTGGTGCCTTCTTAGCCACGAGCCTCAAAACCAAGCCATCAGGGCTCTCTGCATTCACCCAGTCACGGAACGCAGGCTCCCTGAGCGGGGCTCATCACCTCGATGGTGGCTTGCATGCACTGGGCGGTTTCCTATACCCAGCGTTTAAGCTTTTGTGGTTCTGATATTTAGATATTGTGAAAGGTAGGAAGTCCACTCTTTTCTGGAGGACGCACGTAAACCTTACTATCGAGGGGGCCTCCCCATCAAAACTGAACAACCAGGACAAGGATGCCCCGCCTGTGAAGGGGCTAGCGAAGGATACGTGATGATCCGAGGTGCCGTGGTACCGCCTCTGTAAACTTTGTCATAGTTGGGTAACATTTTACATTTTAAAGGGTGCTTAAACCCAATAAGGAATATACATTTTTTTTTTTAATAATACCCCAACCATGATGTTGCAGTAAAGCATTCAAAGCCTAGCAGGGCTTCAGGGCTGCGGCCTATTGTTCGCGTACGAAGCCCTATATCAGACCGTATAAACCTTACACACAACCAAATTCCCCAACCCCCCAAGTCCTGAATACCAAAATGGGAAATGCCCTAAACCCTAAACCCTAAACCCTAAACCCAAATCCTGAATACCAAAATGGGAAATGCACAACACGACCCCAAAGCTCAGTTCGAGGCGACGCGAGGTTGTGAAAAAGTCGAACGGTTTAGGGGTTGATTTCTGTTTCGGGGTGTAATGGTAGGACGTTCAAGGTGGCAATACGGTTTCACCATGTGGGCAAGAACACCTAGCTTTGATATCGGTGTTTCCCCTCTCACCTGGCTGGCCCATACATCTTGTATCGTGTACATCAACTTTCGATGCAGGATTTAGGGCTTTGGATTCACAGTCGGGGTCGTACTGGTACCACCTCATAGTCGATATATGTCCACACACAGTTTTGGTATATTATACCCCTAAGCCCCACGCTATGTGTGTGGCCCGTAGATTGGAACACACCGCCCTATAGCCTCGCTCCGATGCCTCGCTCCGATAAGACCAGGAAACGAAAGACGAGGAGCAGCCGAAGCCAACGGAAGAAGCTCCAGCTGCTGCCGAGGCCCTGGATAGCCCCAGACGCCGACCCGGCTTTTCTCAGACCCTCTTTGGGTTCAGCGGCTTCGAGTTTCGGGTCTTAGTAAGGCGGCTTAGGGGTAAGAGTTCAGAGTCTGGAAGTTCGACCCTCGCATGTTTTTGCCGATATCGTTTGGAGGGGCCGTACCCGAAGCTGCAGAACCAAGCCTGTGCAAGATCTCAGCTCAACGGCTATCGTCAAAGCAACGAGTCTTCAAGCATGGAGTTTCTCTAAGAAACTTAGGGTCCCTTTTTGGGGCTCCTTTCTCTAAATCCTACATATACCTACCCCCTAAGCAAGTATCGGCCCTACTCGTAGCTGTTGTCTTTGACAAGGAGAAGAAAGACGAGGAGCAAACGAAGTCGAAGGAGGGTGGATACCCATCTGCCTCCTCGTCGGAGGCTCCCTCGGGTTAGGGTTTAGGGTTTAGGGTTTAGGGTTTAGGGTTTAGGGTTTAGGGTTTATGGTGGTAGGTTTCGGGGCTTTTGGAGTTCAGGGTCTCTGGAGTTTAGGGTGTAGGGCTTGGGGCCTGGGGCTCGGGTTCAGCGGGTTTTAGTAAGTTTAAACTTGAGTTTGGATACGAGACTTTTCATCAGACCCAGACACTGCGAGTTTAAGCGTTGAGTTAGACTACTTACTGACAGGGCAACTAACCATGATGATGTGTATATATATATATATACATATAAGTATATAAAGTAGCAGTAACAAGAGAAAGGTGATGAGTATAACTGTAATGCTGTTGATGATGACCCTGCTGGCCATAACGATAATTAATATTGGTGTGAATAGTGAAATCTGATGGTGGTGCTAAAGATCATATAAGCACTCTTACTGTCAGAAATAAACGCTGCTGGTACGAATGCTCCAAACAAGAATGGCTCATAAAAACGATTGTCGTTGAAAGGCTTAGCTCTGCAGGTTTTAGGGTTTAGTTTGGGTTTAGGGTCTAGGTTGGTTGTTCGCGGTATTTGTAACGTCCCGGGAATGTCTCATGTGGTTGTGTGGGTGCTTGCTTGCCAAAGCTTTCCCAACCTTCTCTCCCCCAAATTCTGGATCCCAAGCGCCTCCGATGACGTCCCTCCAGTGGATGGCAGGCCCCTAAGGGTTTGCTCTGGAGCTTCAAGGCTCATGTGCCCCAGGCTAAACTGGATTTAAGGGTTCAGGGCGTTAGGCTATTTAGGGTTGGCGTGGAGCAGTAGCAGATCGTGGGGTGTGAGTGTGTCGGATCCAAAAGCTTCGCGTTTACTGAGCTTAACAGTGTGAGCATGATAGGGCTTGGGCTTAGATTTGAGGTTGCGGGTCGAGTTTGATTCGGATTCAGCATTCGGAGCTTTTGGGTGGGTGAGCTGTTCAGCAAGCCGTTAAGGACCTTAGCAGTGGGCTCTCCTCTGATGTCCCTTGTTCCGAGACGGGGACTGTGAAACACGAGTCTATGTTAATTAAGGCCACTCCGTGACACAGACCTTACGGGATTTAGAATTGGAAACCCGAAAAGGCACGAAGCACCGATAGCCAGCAACTTGAACTCAATGGGGTCGTCCATGAAAGACCAATGCATCTAGGTTTTCGGAGGTGGCTTTCTTACGTCATCACGGATGCCGTAAGAGTTGCGTCAGAATGTTCGGAGTTTGCAAATTTGCGCCCCTGGCAAACAGATTCAGTTCGAGAATCTGGATCAAGACATTCAGCATCATGGACAGCTGTGTTGTTCCTTGTTACATTGATGCTCGTCGTCCGGGCCTCCATATATATATATATATATATGTACATGTGTGTGTATATATATATATATATAGACGCGAGTCATGTCTTCTTCCACCCCTCTCACACGAACTGATGATGACCAACGCCCAAATTCCAAATCCTCAGTTGTAAGCCCATGTTTTCTTTGTTACTCCTTGTGACCGAGCAACGTTCTTCCTAAACCCTAAACCGTCCTACCCTGCTCCCCACACCCTAAGGGATCCTTAGCTGGCTTGGCTAAGGGATATCTGAGATAATATAGCGGCCTTAATTAGAATTGGGTTCTGAAGTATGAGGTATGTTATGCTGTATTTATATTAAGAACCCCCCAAAACCCGATTTTAGTTATTTAGGCCCCGACAGTATTTGAGTCTCTGCTTGCCCTGCTAAGGACCTCTACTCTCCGATGGAGACGGCAGAAGACGTGTGCTCGAGCTGAAATCTGTTTGTTCCGTCTCACTCGTTTGGAAGGTAGCTCTAGGACATTTTCAGGTGGGTAGTTACCGTTATAGGAGCCTTATAGAGGGTCTCTATATCTTATAAAAGCCTTTAAAGCAGCCCTCTATACCCTAAACGTACCTGACAGCTCGTCTGTTTGTCTGACGTAGCTTTAGAATACAAACCCTAAAGCCCCAAACCACACTGGCTTTCCCCTAGGCTCTATTGCGCCGTCTGTGGCCTTCCACCAGACTTTTGCCAGCGCCTGGCCTTGCAAAGTTTCCAGGACTCAGGTTTTGATCATCAAAGGCAGACCCCAGATATGCACAGAGAGAGTGAGAGATAGATTCTATATACATATGCATATTGTGTTATTTGTATTCGATAACTTGGTACCCCTTCCTGCAATCAATGCACGGACGCTGTTCATAACCATCCTGTTGGCTAAAGCTCGCCAGGATCCGGTTTCCCTCAGATGCCTGTGGGTTTAGGGTTCAGGGTTTAGGGTTCAGGGTCCAGGGTTTAGGGTTTAGGGTTTCGTGCTTCTGGTGTTGTCTTTTTCGGATGCTTTCCATAAGGCAGACAAGAAGTTGACAAAAAGCCCTAAACGCACGACCCTAAACTGCACAACAGTCCTCAACAAGCCAAAACCGTCTTAAACCTGGGCACTTCCCAACCAAGAACAGAAACGAAAGTCCACTATTGAATAGTAACGAGTATAGTCATAACGATAATCATAACAATGCGAACCCTATTCATAATAGTACTACAACAAGAGAACCATAACGATATAGCCGGCAATGCTACTGAAATCAGAGTACTAAGTCCTAGACCCTAAGCCCCTAAGGGAAAACTTTTAGAAAAAAATCCCAAAATCCTAAACCCTAAACCCTAATGTTTAAAATCCCCAAAATCCTAAGCCCTGTGAGGTTTCATCCCAATTGGGACAAGTGCAAGCCCTGGTGTCTCGAGCCGCCCGGCAGGGACGGACCGGTGAATCCATTTAGGTGGTTTTAGGGTTAAGGGGCTATTAGGGTTTAGGGTTTAGGGTTTGGGGTTTGGGGTTTAGGGTTTGGGGTTTTTTGTTTAGGGTTTAGGGTTAAGGGGGTAGGGTTTTGGGATTAGGGTTCAGGGGATAGGTTTTAGGGTTTAGGGTTAAGGGGCTAGGGTTCTGGGATTAGGGTTCAGGGGTTAGGGATTAGGGATAGGGGTTTGGGTGTGGGGTTTAGGGATTGAGGGTGTAGGGCTTAAGCTTTAGGCTTCAGAGGTCGAACTAGATCGCTTCCTTTATCGTCATATAAGTTAAGTAAACTAGAGCTTACACCCAAAACCCTGGAAGTACTATTAAGGTCCCTATTTATCCACGGACCTTAGCTAATAGTTGACTCTTCGGCTTTCAGGACAAGGCTTTCTTGTCTACATAATGTGAACGGAGTATAACTTCTGACCCTCAAAGCAACAGGTTATGGGATTCTCAGGTGGGGGTTTGGTTTGTCCCGCTATGTTTTTTTGGCAGGACCTTGTTGCAGGGATAGAGACCTAACAGGCTGCACCTTGAATTTCAAATCAACGCCAAGCCCTAGCCCTTTATCTCCTAAACCCCTAGCTCCTACACCCTAGAACCCTGAGACGCCAAGCGCTTACAGTCACCCCAAAAAGCACTCAGGAACGCCCCGCAGTACTATCCAGAGCTTTCCGGCATCTCCTTGGAAGATGCCAAGAAGAAAGCAGAGGAGTCGTCATTGGAGTCTGTAATGTAGGGGACTAAGTCATTACTAATACTCTTTTGGACAGTTCCTTATTATGATTGTAGTATAGTGAGCCTCAACACCCTGCCACAGTCTATCTCTAAGGCTCTCAGGCTGAGACGGCTCAAGGTCAAAATCCCGCCGTGGTATGCATGTTACTATTAGGGTTTAGGGTTCAGGGTAATTAAGTGCGTTATCTCTAGAATTGAACACCTGCAGCCCTGCTCTCACAACTGCGATGTAGGGTTTATGGATCAGGGTTTGCGGTTGGTGGCTCGTTGGTTTGTTGCTGCACGGGTGCATGTGAAGTAGATCTTGCATGATGGACCCACGTAGGTTCTTCACCGACAGCAACAACAGGATACCTAGCATGGCCGCATGTGACTAAGCACCCTGCCCATACACCCAGTCTCACACCTTAAACACCGAATGCACAGTCTGGCAGCTGGAACTGCGAGGAGCTTACAGAAAAGTCGAAAGAGAAGCTCCTACCTGGTGGGAAGGTCAAGAGAGTCCTGGCTTCGACAAAACGCTGAGGATCGAATGGACCCAATCATTAGGTACTTGGGTTTAGAAGTCTATGCTATGCTACTTTTACAAAACGATACTACATACTATATTATACCAGTACCGTAGGTTGGCTTTGTGCGCGGGGTGTGGAGAACATGGTTATCAGATGCTTGGGACAGCAGGCGAAGGCTAGATCGCTGGAGCTTTTGTGGTGTTGACCACTAAACCCCGCAGCGTAGGTCCACAATCCCTAATCTACAAACCCCAAACCTTATAGACTGTGAAGTTCAGAGCCCGTATAAACATCCATAGCAAGCCCATGCAAAGACCCTATAATCCCCAAATCCCTAAACTTTGAAGCCCCCGGGCAATAATCCCAACCCCGAGCAAAATCCAAGTTTCGGTGCCCTGCCGTTCTAGAGCTGTTGTACCAAGGAATTAGCATCAGTAAGCCCTGTAAACCCCAAATCCTGACCCTTCACCCGACATGCACGCTGCATCCTAGGCTCGTCCTAGCACTACGGGATGGACAAATATCCTAAACCCTTCAAAAAAAGCCCTAAAACTCTCAACCCCAAATCCTTTGCGCGGTCTCCATTCGTGGTGTATCTTGCTCTATATTCAGGATCGTAAGGTAACCCCAAGAAGGAACTCCAATGGAGTGTTTTTGTCAACCCTCAACCCGATTGTAAACCCTAAACCCTCAGCCCTAAACCCTGAACCCTGAGCCCTAAACCCCAAACCCGGAACCCGAAACCCTACGACCTACCAGTGCTAAGGAGCGAAGTCCCCCTCAGCCATAGCCTTGGAAGTGCTTGAACGATCGTGGGACTCTTGTACTTGTTGTTCAAGAGGCTTTAGGATTTAAGTGGGGGGGGGGGATGTTTAGAAAAGGTTCTATAGGGGACTCTTGCATATTGCTTCTGTTCAGAAGTTTTTAGGGTCTAGGGTGGCGTTTACAAGGGGTTTTATGGGGCTTAGTTCTATGCAGGGGTTACCTGAACTCCAAATAACCTTTTCAAGGACTTTTAGAAAGAAGTCCCTAAACCTTAAACCCTAAATCCTCATAAGGAACCCTGGAAGGGTAGGTTCTCTAGGGTCCAGTTCAGGGGTAAACCTTAAAAGGTGAAGGGACTCAGGAATTCCTGGGGCACGATTCGGGCAACTACACTTGCACACTTGCATGTACTTGAGAAGCCTGTGTAAGGTACTTCCAACCATACTTGCAACTACCCAAGAGCTGCCAGTTGTGGAGACTTTGTTTTTTCCGGGTGTATAATGAAGTGGACATGAGGATTTTTGAAGTAACTTGGGTAGCTGTGGGATGTTCGGTTGGGTTTAGGATGTGTGATTGTCATTTCGGGGGCTCGGGTTTAGGAGTTTTAGGTCAGGTTTTTGTTAGCATGTGGGGTGGTGCAAGCCGGTTTCAGGATGCTTGGGCTCTAGAGAAGACATACCTCGCACTATGTGCGGATGATCCCAATCCGACCCTCTCCCCCACCCCGAAGCAATAGCTGCCACATGATAGGACAGGCTCAGTGCACGTCCCAAGAGCATCGTGAAGATTGTTTGTGCAATCTGTTGACATGCATTTACCTTTCTAGTTCTTCGGTTCGACTCGAACCTCTGTGCTGTCCAGAGCGGTCCTGTTATAACCGTACCGTAGCTCATCATCTCCGCCCTTGTCTAGAACCCCTGCTGTGACGGGCCGGCAGTCGCTGATATGAGGTAGAGTAGAGCGGCCAAAAAAAAACGCCACGACGGAGGCGATTTTTGGTTTTAAGGTTAAGGGCAGTTTGGGGTATGCAGATTCTGGTTTCTACATTCTTCGCCAGATGTCGCCGAACACTACCTGAGGCCTACTAAACCCCTAAACCTTAAGCCGTGAAGCCCTAAACTAATCTCGCCAAGATTCGGACTCCGGCTACGCACCACCAGGTCTTAGCTGCCAGCATGCTGACGCTGCGAAGGGCTCAGGGCCAAGAGCCCTGAATCTACCCGTGTATTTAAGATAACCTACTTACTGGTCTAAGATGTCTTGAGGGTTTATCTATTTATCTATACGGCAAGCCTGCTGGTTCGTTGAATAAAGGGCTAAAGAAAATACCTCAAACCCTCTAACTGCCTTGAACCTCGGGCCTGAATGAGGTCAGCATCAAGAAGCTGAACCGAGGCGGACGAAAGTGTGTCGCCGTCTCAGATGCGGTATGTGATGTGGGGTTGTGGCCAGTCGGGTTCTCAGAGACTTCGCGACCCCATTAATTCAGGAACATGCCGTAAAACATGGACAACTCAATCGCATGAACTATGCTCATTCCTTGATGAGGGGGCATTGGACTCTTTGGGTTGTTGAATTTGGGAAGACCGCATTGGATTCAACATTTGGGCCCACTTGATAAGTCAAGGAACATAAGGTGGCCGGTGGGCATTATGCTTCTTGTGTGCTTCCTAGATTGTTGCCTGAACTCGCAACCCCTGCGCCGTAATCGCCGTAGTAAACCCGCCAAAACAAAGATTTTCTGCCGCATCGGGCACCAGTGGATATAGAGCTTAATCCTAAACCCTAAACCCTAAACCCTAAACCCTAAAAGCTCCATACGAATACCCCAAGCAGCTGCTGCACTGACACGACAACGACGGCGACGACGTAGTGGTCATATGGGTGGCTGTCAAAATTATGGTCCCTTTTTGGGTCCTTATTATAGTACGGCACCTAATATTTAGGGTACCCAAAAAGGGACACTAATTTTGACAACCACTCATATGTTGTGGACATCGGCGTTGTTTGGGGTCTTACGGTATCGAGGGTTTAGATTGTGAGTGGTTTCGGGCTGCGGGGTGACAGGCTTGGGGGGGGTGTAGGTGCCTGCTGCACGTTTTGGACTGCAGGTCACTAGCGTAGCGGGACTCGACATGTTCGGGATCAAGCTGGACGACGTGGCGCATCTCGGTAGCAGCGAGCCAAAAACGCCCTTACGCTAAGCCAACGAAGCAGTCACCCAAGCTTAATGTAGCCTGTGCAGGTTTTGTGCCTACAACCATACTCTAAAACTAGCTGTTCAGCTTGCCGGCTCGAGCCCTCACGGGCGCAAAAAATACCTACAGTATTCCTTAGGGTTCCCTCTTCTAAGTATACTATAAAGGAGCCCAAAACCCTATTCTAAGTATCAAAGCCCCTACATTACTCGGGTGAACGTGGCCAAGACACACCTGAAGTCCACTTTACAGCCACCCTTGAAGCCTCACATGTTTGACTGCAGCTTTGCTGGCCAAGGCAAGGAACACTCCCTAATTGATGAAGGGCTCAACAGTTCCGCGTCTTCGGGTGAAGGGTTTCTGTGTTTAGTCTCGCAGTAGCGACTACAAGGTTTGGGTTTAGCAAGCCATCCCTAAACCATACAAGCCTCACAAGCCCCATACTGAACCAAGTAGAGCCAGCAGAATTTTCGAAGCCTTTCAACACTAAAGCCCTAACCAAGCCCGAGTAGAACCTGCAGGCATTCACCACAAAAACGGCTTGATTGGGTTTGGGTTTGTGGTCCAATACAGCTTCGGTCACATGGGCTGAAGAGAATCGTGCAGAAAGCCCACTGTAGTCGTAAGATGGGGTCACTTTTTTGCGCAGGTTTAGGAACGGAAGGCTAAAGTTAAGCTTCCTCTGGACCGAAGCCCGGAGACGTCGGGAGACAAAAGCCCAGGAAGCTGTTCAAGAAGAAGTTCGCTTGCGGCTGTGCAGTAGTCAAGGGCGAGAATACTCTGCCGGACACTGTCGACATACAAGGCGCGCCGACAAGACTTATATAAGTCAGGTTCACATTGGGTCGATGGTACAGCTAGTAGGGATATGCTAAAGGTAATAAGGAGAACAGCAGTACCCGTAGGCATGTTTAACGATAGGAAAAGGAACCACAAGACTACACACACTGAGACTGATATCAGTCCTCGGTATCGCGTGAGAGATCTTTAGACAATGAGTTGCTGTGCTGATTCCTGGCATGTCATTTCGTGAACCTCACGCAGCCGATACAATTGAGCAACACAATGGCCATGCAAGGATTGACCCTAAACCCTAAACACTTTAGGCGGCCCTTCCTGCCAGACTCCAGAACCCTAAACCCTGGTAACCCTAGATTCGCTCACTTGTAAGCGGACGTTTTCCAGTTGAACGCGAGAGACCTCGTCAGGCAGTGTCCGAGTTGCGAGAGCGTAAACCCAAAAACCCTAAACCCTAAACTTTATCGACTCGAAACCCTAAGCCGCAACCCCTAAACCCTAAACCTACCGTGGATGGTTTCGACGAGATCTGGCGACGTAGGGGTGGCAGTCGGGCTCGGGGACTACTTAAGAGATCTGGGGGACTTAGCTAGGACAGGTAAGGGTACCTTATACTTTTAGGTGCAGTTCTTATCCTTGCTGTAAGCCTGCATACCAAGTCCCTAGATTTTTTCAGCTTTGGTTTGGGTCGGTGGGGTGGGGACAGAAAGGAGTAGGTGTGCCGACAAGGCGGTGTCCCCACCCTATCAGTCAAGATTTCTATGGGGCTTCGACATGTTCGTTTGGGGGGACCATAAGGCTTTCTGTGAGGATCTAGGATTTAGGGTCTCGGGTATCAGGGCTTTTCTTATTTAGTTGTCGCTTTCGAGTCTTCCTGTATTGCTGAGGGGTACTCCCTCCCTCACTCTCTCTCTCTCTCTCTCTCTCTCTATATATATATATATATATGCATACACATTTTTCTCTCGCAGTTGCATATACATATGTACAGATATATGTATGTATATGCGCACACGTACATACAAGCGGGTCCTTGTCACAGAGCTTGTGCAGTACAACTCAAAGGACGGCATGATATTTACAACGCAGACATCCCTACAGACACTTCAGGTATGTAAGTTCCTTGCAATTCTGCACCCTACAAGGACGATAGCACTTCAAACATGCGCACCGGAAGGAACCTACAAAGGCGGCTATACAGATCGAAATGAAGTTCTTACTTAGAATCCGACCCCTCCGTTTTCGGTTTGGGGGTTGTAGGCTCTCGATCGAAAGTACCCTAAACCCCTAAACCCCGAAACCCTAAACTTAAAGAGCTCAGAGGTTTCGGGCGGTCTCGGGTCAAGTGTTCTGCCGGGTTTTCACCTAATGCCTCGGGAGTACTAGGAGCCCTCGTCCTACTTTTTTTAATGCGCGCGGTTGGTTATGAAAGCTCGGAGTTCGGAAGCTTACGTGCCCAACCCCTCCAAACTGCAACTTTTATACCCCATACTAGACCCGAAAGCCCAACCTGAGTGCCCCAGACCCAACAACTCCATCCTAAACTTAAACCCAGAAAGCCATAAACCTGAAGCAAAGAAAAGCCCAAAACCAATTTCCCAGACCCCTAGACCCCAAAATCCTAAACCCGAAGCCGGGGGAGGCAACAAAAAATCCCCGGCTTCGTCCTAGCAAGGCGGGAGGCAACAAAAATCCCCGAGGCCTTACCTTCAAAGCTCCAGATGCCCGAAGATTGAATGCCTCGGCCCTTATGATAAGGATCCTACTATTTTGCCGACTAATCCAGAAGCCTGCAACTTTCACCTCAAGTAGAGACTGGCAAGAGCCATAGCAGCATCCTACTATTTAGGGTACTATATTGGGGCCCCCTATTTTCGGAAGCCAGGCGACTTCGAGGATGAGGTCATCGTTTCTTGGATGAAAGATGTGTCTGCAGGGCGTCAGGCAGAGCCTAAACCCTAAACCCTAAACCCTAAACCCTAAACCCTAAACCCTAAACCCTAAACCTTTTGCCTGTCAAGAGACGCCTGATCTCTCCGCAGGGACCTGACGTATAGCTACTTCCGGGACGGATACGATGGGGGTCAGAATAACAACCAGTGTTTTGTTCCGTATCGTCCTTTTTACGGTAAGCTATACGATAATAAGATAGCAGTCCCTGCCTGCATGTTTTTTCAGTTGCGGTTTGAAGGTCGCAAGCACTTCAGGCCTTTGTTCTCAGAGTGCTGCACCTACCCCCTAAACCTCAACAGCTCTGCTGATAAATCCCAGCACACTCAGGACATCATCGTTGCGGAGTGGAAGCAAGTCCCTCAGGACGGGGCCTGCGGGCCTGGGTTTAAACGCTACAGTAAACCCTAAAACCCTATCCCTAAAAGCCTTATAAGCCCTGAAGCGCTAAACCCTAAAACCTTAAACCCTAAAACCCTCAAGTCTTAAACCCTGAAACCCTAAGCCTTGAACCCCCAAAACCCTAAGACCCTATTCGGGCTTAAAGGCGCGGAGTTGAGAGGGCCGGTTTAGGGTTTAGGGTTTAGGTTTTAGGGTTTAGAGTTTAAAGTTTAGGGTGATTCTCGACTTGAGGTTTGGAGCTTTAGGGTGTGGGGGCTTCAGCGTCTGAGAGTTGGGTCTTTAGAAGTTTCGGTTACGACTTCATGTAGGGCCCAAAACCCTATTCTAATTATCAAGGCCCTAACATTACTACTTAGGCTTCCCAAAGCATGGCCCTATGCTTCCAGGGACGTTGTTATTGGGTCCTCAAATAGTCTAGGGCCCTAACTCTAAGGTCCTTGGAAGTGTAGGGTACAGTCTGCACCACGTGCCTGCAGCAGGAAAAGATTAGCGTTCTCGATGCCGGCAACAAGAAGAAAGGGAAAGGCCAGGGAGGGAATACCAAACCGAGACTTACGTTGCCCCTGTAGCCTCAAAGCCTACAACATGGTAGGTGATGAGCCCGTTATAAGGTAAGGCTAAACCCTTAGCCTTAAACCCCTGACAGTGGTCGGTAGTTCGACACTGGAAAGTTGCAAATCGAGTTTCGCTGCTATGGGCTTTGGGTTATCTTTGCCCAAACCCCAAACGCCGGAAAACCCTGAGGCCACAGAGCGTTTTGACCAATTAACCTTAAACAATGGAAGCGAGAGCTCATAATTCCGTCGGCAAACTCCAAAGACTGTCCGGAACTCGGTCGTACGAAAAGGGTTCAGCTACCCAGCTTGCTAATGCATGCCGATGTAGGTTTGCGGGCTGATTATACAGTCAACAGCCAGTTAAAGGAAAAGGCTGCATAGCCTTCAAGCCGCAAGTATTCTAGGTGCGAAATTCACAAAGCCGGAAAGCCGTCGACGTCGCAAGCCACATGAGCCGGGCAAACCCACTCTCTCTCTGCAGGTAAATGAACGGAGAATGCGGCAGCTGCCTGCAGTGCAATGTGATGCCGTTTGCAGTCGCAGCTACATGGGACCACCTGAGCTCAATAAAAACCTCACATGACCTGCTAAGTTTGTAAATTAGGTTTTAGCCACAAGCCACGAAGCCGGGATTTATAAGCTCCTCGACCCGACGGAGTCAAGCAGAGGACAGAGTGGCCCCAGGTGGTTGAGCAAACCACGTGAATCTATCTCCGCTCGCTGCAAACCCTAAACCCTGATCACTCTCCCTACCCGAAACCTAAACTGTAATCCCAAAGCCTAAACCCTAAACCCCTCGACCCTAAATCCTCATTCTTTTTGCCCTAGAGAGCCAAGGCCTCGAGAAAAGAGCGCCTGGCTGTAGGGTTGAGGGTATCCGTTAGAGTGGTGTCTTTCTATTCTACGGTTTCGGCGTCTAGGGTCTAGGTTTAGATCGCCCTTGTCGGGAAGTTGCCGGCTGGATCGTGGAAAGAAGCGGGCAAACAAAGCAAGTTCTCTGCTGATGCTTTCGCAGTCGGGAGTCGCAGGAGGTTTGGATTTGGGCTTCCGGCCTTGTGGGCTTCCCACTAGTTCAGGATAGTCATGACCTGAATGTTGGCGAGGGCCGGCAGCCCGTTATTCATGAAGCTGCCATACGTTTGTTCTTTGATTTCAGGAGCTGGAGAACTTTCGACAGGTGTCGGGAATCGGCAGGTGTCCCAACTGATGGCCCCCTTAGGGATTATCAACCACCTGCCCATGCAGTACATCCTTCAGCACAAACGAGCCCCAAACCTTTCCCTGATGAGAGATGTTCAGATCGATTCCGTCGGCTTTGGGAGGAATCCCCTACCCCTTCAGTAGGGGCAAGCGGCCATGAGCCGTTGTGCGAAAGTAAGTCTTAAACCTTCAACATTATACCCTAACGCTACAAGGGATCACGGTGAGCATAGCAATGTAACAAAAGGGCCTCTGCTGCTCCATGCACGAAGCCAGACGAGCGATTCGCCTCTCACTTACCAGGTCCTCAAATCAGAGACTCGTAGCAACTCTGCGAGTTTGAAGCCCGAAGCTTGCATTCCTGCACCGGCTTTCAGCTTCCTGCACCGGCTTTCAGCTTGCAACTATCGCCCAAAAACACCCGGACCTGCCTTTGCTAGGCCGATCCGGAGCCCCGAGCGCCTGATTCTCAGTGGATGTTGCGTGGAGGATTCAGACCGTAGAGGTTTAAGATAGGGGCCTAATAATGGCAATAGGGTTTTGGGGCCTATTATACTCTAACTGTAATAACGAACCCACAAAACCCTATTTTAATTATTATGGCCC